TGAAGAGAAGTGGGTAAATAGGTTCTGAAACTGTTACTGGGCCTAAATCCGCATTCGAAATTCAAACATCTTGATTACGAAGGTTGTTGACTGGATCAAATCTAAGAACTTATCACGTTGAACCTATCAATCTTGTTCACTTGAACGGAGACTTAGTTTTCTAGCCCCATGAATGTAAACCTTCCTTTTCAGCCGATAAATTACAACTAGGTTAACCCTGTTTAAACAACGGTGGTAATAAGAAACCAAACACAGAAACTAAGAAGAGCTGAGGGATAGGAAAGAAGAGCGGATAAAGTAAACCCGACCATCCGAAATGACAAAACGTTGCTTTCTATATGTAGGCAGACAAAAATGAGCTGAACGCACGTAAAGAGAAGAGAAAGTGGAACACACGCATGCAGAAAACAGTTGATATTGCAAGAATATGATTAAAAAATTCAGAATATCACTGACAAGGAATTACGGATTAGTCTTTCGAATATTCAGAATAACCCAAATAACCAAAACATGAAAATAGATGTACGATCTGGTAGCTTTCTCCATGGTGAAGATTGTTCGATTCCATCAAGATTATGATTCCACAAGTGTAAGAAGACCATTATAAACATAAAAACATTGGATAGCTGTTTCATTCTAGCACAGGACTCACCAGTAGTGCTCATGCACGACCACTGTTCGGCGGAATCGGACATACGACCTTCGGATTCGAGCCCAAACGCTTGATCCCTACACTGATGAGGCCCCACTTCTTCTGGAAGGGGTCCGTGATAGATTCACAGTCTCATCCGTACTTAACTGCCACTTTATCATTTAATGCTTCGAAGTTTCCGGTTTTGAAATTAAAACATAGATTCTATGTCCACTCAAACATCATGGACACTTTCGACTCAGAACTCAATCACAATTAATAATCAGTTTCACAATCGTTCACATAGTTGACTTTGTTGAGACATCCTGTTGAGAAACACTGTTTCCGCAAGTTCCTTTCACAAGCTTGTCTGGCTGTTACAACTTATGAACTGTTGGTAAGGCGTCAATACAATACAGTTAACAGTTATGGGAAAAAAGTACGGATTATCAAACATGCTATGAGCATTTAGGATTTAGTGGCAGAGATGTGCTTAACAAAGTAAGCAGGAAAGTTGAGGAGTTTTATGGTTAAAAGTGGGACAATAGATAACAAGATAGCGTCAGCTTCATTAAAAGCTTTTCAAACTCATGTAGCCCGTCTGCCATGCGCTTTTTTGAGGTCTGTCTTAAAAAGTACTTTGATACTCTTAATGCAGATTGCACATGTTAAGTCTCTTAAATGATTTAACTGTAGGTACAACAATAAGTAAATAAGATTGACGCTTCACAAACACTGAACACCAATACTATGGTTTAATCTCATTATTTCGCAACTAGCATCTCTTGGATGCCTCAACTACCACACCTCACGACTGTTCAGTCTCCGCATCTGTAGTGGGATATAGATTGGATTATAGCATGATTGCATTGTTGCTTGCAGATTGGCTCTTACGCATCCTATCGGTGCCAGCCGATACTGAGGTTACATTCTAGGATCTTCTCACGCGAGAAAATTATAAATATACTAAATTCATTTTTTCTCCGGGCCCCCTGAATCCCATCTAACTTTGTTATTGGAATACAAACTATTTCTTGTTCAACCGTGTTCTGATTTTGGGAGAACGTCTCGAGTGAATTGGTGTCCGCGAATACTAAGCATTAGGAATAACTGGGTCGTATAAGAGAGTGGAACATAACAGCATCTGATGGTTGTGTACTTCAGAAACCTAACAGTACGAATAATGATCTCTCCAATTCCTTTAGATGTAGTGAAAACCGACCTAGATCAATGATGTAACATCAAGGAGGCTAGAATGAGCTCACACTAGTGTCCGTTGACCACATCGACAAACCACGATACAGGATACAAAGATCGCGGTTTCGCCGAGTACATACACTGCACAAGCAAAAAACATGTAGCGACCAGTTGTCACAGAACTGGCTAACTCGGCTCCAACAACTTGCTTAAAAATCCGACAGTGACTGTTGCTTCGGAGATTCACCAGTTAATGAGGCACACCACCACAACGTAAGAGAACTGGGGGTACGTTGGAAGGAATCAGGAATATGTGTTCTCAAGTAAATCTGAAGATCATAATACTAACTAAAACATGACTATCCCATAACAGTACAGGTGACGAAGTGAGCCTGCAAAACATGACACTCTTCAGATGTGTACAGGAGGTGGCTGTAAATATTTCAAAGCCCAAAGACTACACAACACCCAAATAACCAACGCAACAGAATAGTGCTGATATTGCTTTAAAAAGAACTTGATTAGATGGATTTCCTGAACCCTCTTAGGAATTTAGACCCAGAAAGATGAGCTGATTGAGGCATTAATGAAACTGTCATTCCTGAGTTTGATAATATACTCTTGTTTGGAGATTTCGACACTCCATCTCTAAATCGCAGCAAACAGGGCAAAACTCACACAGGTTTGTTCCAAAAGAAACTAGACACAGCCATTCAATTTTCCGAGCTCAGCACGAAGTGAGGATGGAAAATCCTTAAACTTGGGATATCTGTTAACAACTGATTAGCTCCTGGCCGGGGATGTCCATATTCACACACCAATAGGAACTAGAGACCATGGTGGAGCCATGCTTAACATGTTTGTTATTTGAGAATAAATAATAATAATAATTATTATTATTATTATTATTATGGTCACAAACGAAATAGTCAGGAGAGATAGAAATGAGCCCTTCCACACTTCCAAACGAAGCTACCAGCCACAGTATAGACAAACCTGGAACACCCCTTTAGAGTCATTACTGAAAGTAAACCTAAGCTCTCACATGCCCAAATGGTGAAGATCTTAATAACCTACGGATGGATGAGATAGTTAACACTTACTTCACCGATCAGTTGAACTATCTATCTACAAGTTGAGAGTACTACTTAAACCTAGTTCAGCTGATGGCCTAGGTAATATTCCGCTTACTCCTGACTTAGCACCGATAAAACTTAAAAGGAAACTAAAAAAAGAGAGTCACTAGACTGTAACATTATTCGCCCAATGGTCTTAAAAGAAGCTCTCAGTTCACCGATACCTGACTCGCTCAGGCATCGACTGGATTCACACCAACTCCTAGCCGAATGGAAACAAACAACTCTCTCCAGTCTTCGAACGAGATAGGAAGGACTGCCCCTGTCACAGACCAGTAGCATTACCACAAAAGAAGGGCTGGTGAATGAGTAAATGAGGGGTTCATGGATAATAACAAAATCCTCCACGAAGCTCAATATGGGTTTCCGAAAGGTAGGTCATGTGCTTCCAGTCTTCTCACGTAATGGGACAGCTGAAAAATTTGTCGGGACCGAAAAATGCTGGTTCACATAATCTTTCGCAAAAGCCTTCAGAAAGTAGCCTATGCACTCTCAGATGCGAAGGTTGGCCCAAAACTACCCTGGGAACAGAAGTTTCGTACCAAGGAAAATGGAGTGCATGTGAACTGGCGAGTCTAAACATCAGGATTTTACGGAGGACCATCTTATGTCCACTTCTCTTCCCGATGTTCAATAATAACGTAAGAGATAATATTAGCTCACTAGTACTAATCTACTCCAACTATGCATAGATCAGCAGGTTCCCAAGTTGCGAAGAGGATTCAACTGAGCTTTAAAAGGACCTCACAGCAGTTACGGAAAGGGTAGCATAAAACGTGTTTACACTCAACCAGTCGCAATGTCGCAATGAACATTCAGCACAACGTGACACAGATGATTTGCACTTTCACTGGAAGACCACTTTCTAATGTCTACTAAGAACGTGGTCTTGGCTTCATAACCACTGAAAGCCCCAACACTGGTGTGAGCTATATAAGAGATTCAGTCAAGGCTAATGTAACTCTTCACTTTATGCGAAGATAACTTGGTGCTATCACCCTAGAATTATTCTTGACATAGTTTAAGACATACGCATGCCCACAGCTTGAGGTTCGGAAAGTCGCCGCACTTGGAAGAGACATAAATCTCCTGGGTGGAATGCAGAGACAAGCAACTCAATGACTGATAATGTTCAAGAATAAGCTATACGAAGAAATAATAATAATAATAATAATTCTCAAATAACTAAGTTACAAGAATCACGCCAGTTTACAGCACTTGGGATTATTGTCTCTGGGTAACAGGAGAACATCGACCAGCTGTGCCTGATGTATGTCTTGGTACCTGCAAGTTGTTTTTACTCTCATTTTCTCAAATCATCAACTTAACCTGTCTCGCTTATTATCTCTGTCTCTTTTTCCTTGCTTACACCTCTGTTCTCTTAAAAAATTATTACGGCTAGTTACTTGACTTATTTATTTACTTAGGTTACGAAATCTTTCTATCAGCACTAGAAGTTTCTTCCTATTATTCTAGAAATTGTAATTAACCATCCAGAAACCTTACTGTCTTTAGACAAACACACTCACGCAAATCACAGGACATATAAATTCATAAATAACTTCCAAATGACTAGAATTAATGCAGTTAAGTGGCTAGACTGTTATCCATTGGACAAAACCAAATAATTGAAACCGTACTAAAAGAACAAGACTCGAGCACAAATAATAATAATAACCCTTGATGAAGATATTGAGTAGCGGATATTGAATATTGGAGTGACCAAGTCAAGGTTGTCCGCATGACTACGAAACTTAGACTTTTTAAAAGTAATATTCTGTGACGCTTTCGAATCTTCATGCTATCGGCTACTAGTTTGGCTTTCCATATTATTTGAATCTAAAGCATGCATGAATACTGATTTTTATGACTGTCCTTACTAAATGTAGGTGCTTTCTGTGGGCTCATTGCGTTGTCGACATACTTCTTTTGTTATTCTTTTTTTAAATTCTCCCCATTCACGTTACTGTTCATGCTTTCTTAGAACACAAGGTGCCTTCTGGTCAGACGCGAACCACTTAATGCAATAACTGAAGATGAGTAAACAGATGGAGGCAACAGATGTAAGAAATAAAAGCTTCGCTAATTAATTTAAGCCTGATGTCACGAAAGTTCTAATAAAACCAGCTGTTGATGATGAAACTTTTGAGGCTCTCAAGAGTGAATTTAATGAGGTAGAGTACTGTTATTTTTCGAATAACCTTATTACTTTTTAGATTCTGGAAGAAATCGAAGGGAACAAAAGTTTAGAGAAATTCAAGGAAGAATATGAAAAGTTAATGGGGGCGTTCTTCAAATCTCATGATAACGAAAAGCTGCTATTGCGAAAGTGTAGAGAGCTAAAGGCAGAAATCCTTACAAATTATGCGAAGGTTACACAGGCTGAAAGCATTTCCAGTGACGATCCAAGCAACATTGCGGGTCTTAAACGAGAAGTTGAGCAAGCATGGAAGATGGTTGATGCAGCTGCTGATCGAGAAACTAAAGCTCAGGCAACAATTAAAGATCTCAAGGAAGAAATCGCTAATTTGAACAGGTTACTTCAGCAAAGCGATGCCGATTTGGCCGGGTCAGAAAGGTAATGATGTATACCTTGATTTTTGATACCCGCTCGGTTGGTTCTTTTGTCTTGCGTGAGTTAATTTCACTCTTATACTTCTGATAGACAAGCCATTCAAAGTGTAAGGGGATCGTAGAGAGTTTTGAAAATGAAACGACAGTAAGAGAATAATGGCATTTTTCAAGGGTTCTGTAGGTTTTAACTGTTCAAAACATTTTGGGTTCAGGTTAGGATTTTAAGGTGGATCTGAAGAACTGTAAGAACTGGATCTAAAGTGTGCTTGCTCGTAACTGAAAGCTTGGCTTCCTGCTTCACTATTTAAAATAACAGCTTCAGGAGTTTTATACGTCGTTCACGTAGTCCTCAGATTACGTTCTATGTATTTATCTTCTCTTAAAAATCAAGATGTCCAACCCTGATTTCCTTTCCATTCTGTTTTTATGAACACCATTGACCCAAAGATTGCATCAGTCAGTCAGTCAGATGCAACGTAGAACTTCGTACGTAAGTACATCAGTTCATGTTGCCATACCACATCAGCACAGAGATATAATTGTCAATTCAAATCCAATAGTAGTAGAGGTAGTAAAGGTATTAGAAGTAATCGGAGAGGTTAGGATTAGTAGATATTATTCAGGTAGTATGATTCAGTGAGATAAGTTTAGAAAGTCAAAACTGAAGGTGTTGAAGAGTCCAGAAGATTAGGATTTGAGAGAACACAAAGAATAAGTGCACCGGCGCCATTGCGAACGATTTTGAGCCATGTCATTCAGGGTTTCTAACCATCGATTATTATCATCTCACGAACCCCAACCAGGTAGTCGACAACTACCGACGTGGCTCAGTCCACTAGTCAATGACTTTATGGATTTGTGCCATGTTTTGTTCTGGCCGCCCCTAATTTACTTCCAACCTACTCCTACACCATAAAACAAAGCTCTTCGAGGCAGTCGTTAGTTAGGCATACGCAACACATGTCCCAACCACGTCAACTGATGAAGTTTCACCACTTCATCGATTGATCTGCCATCCTTGCCTAGCACCCGTTTCCTAACGACAGCATTGCTTACTTGGTTGTCCCACGGTATACGAGCAATGCTTCGAAGACACCTATGATCGAAAACCAATAACCGAAGAATATCTTCTACTCTCACTGGCCATGTTTCACAGCCATAAAGTAAGACGGAGCGAACCACTGCGCAGTACACTCGTCCTTTAGTCAGCAAACGGATATCTCGACTACGCCATAAGTGACGCAGGTTGGCAAAAGCCAATCAAGCCTTCTGTATCCGAGCTGAGATTTCGTCAGTTATCAGGCTATCAGCGCTGATGAGACTCGCTAGATAAGTGAAGCGGTCTACACGCTCAACTACTTCACTGGGTCGATGGGCAGAACACTTTAGGGATCAGTTCAACTGGCCTCGAGCCACTCTTCGGTTGCCTACGATCTCCAGTCATCCTGAATGGCAAATCGACCTAAGTCCCCCTAGGCTTTACGAAGTTGAGAAATCGTTAGGAACTTTGAAGCGAGGGCGAGCTGCAGGTCCTGATAGACTGACCCCTGAGATATTTAAGGATGGTTGTCCAGTTTTAACACAGACTGACCGAGATCTTAGGTAGAATCCGGGGACTGGACGTAATTCCATCTGACTGGTCTCAGTCGCTAATTGTCCCAATCTACAAGAAAGGACAAAAGTCTTCTTGTGACAATCACAGGGGAATAAGTCTAACTAATATAGTGTCTAAATTGTTAGCCTTGATTATACTTAGACGCCTTACTAGTGCTCGTGAAGAGCAGACTAGAGAAAATCAGGCTGGTTTTCGACCTGGACGCGGTTGTATAGACCACATCTTCACACTACGACAGGTTCTGGAACACATACATACATTTAGGCGTCCTACAATAGTTGTCTTCCTGGACCTTAAGGCGGCATTTGAGGTTCTGTGGCAGTGTCTGTCATTGAAAGGTGTACCAAAGAAGTACATCAACTTTAAACAAGCTCTCTAGAGTAAAACTACTGGTCGGGTGAGAGCTTATGGCGAACTGTCATCGGAATACTCTACTCCAAGTGGTGTACGTCAGGACTGCCCACTCTCTCTATTTTTGTTTAGTGTTGTCATAGACGTGCTTTAGATGTAACATTATCTTCGTTCGACTTTTCAGGAGTCGACCTTCTACCAGGAAAATCGTTTATCAAACTAGAATATGCCGATGAAATTGTCCTACTTGGTGAAGACGCTGACAAAATGCAGAGTCTTCTGACTACCATAAGCAACAATGCGAGCATGTTCAGGATGCGGTTTTCCCCCTCGAAATGCAAAATGTTGCTTCAAGACTGGGTTGCACCGGCACCTAAACTAGTGATAGGGAGTGAAGTAGTTGAGCGTGTAGACCGCTTCACTTATCTAGCGAGTCTCATCAGCGCTGATAGCCTGATAACTGACGAAATCTCAGCTCGGATACAGAAGGCTCGATTGGCTTTTGCCAACCTGCGTCACTTATGGCGTAGGCGTGATATCCGTTCTCTAACCAAAGGACGAGTGTACTGCGTAGCAGTTCGCTCCGTTCTTCTATATGGATGCGAAACATGGCCGTTGAGAGTAGAGAACTTTCGTAGGTTACTAGTCTTCGATCATCGATGTCTCCGAAGCATTGCTCGTGTATCCTGGGACAACCAAGTAAGCGATGTTGTCGTTAGGAAACGTGTTCTAGGTAGGGATGGCAAATCAATAGGTGAAGTAATGAAACCTCATCAGTTGAGGTGGTTGGGACATGTGGTACGTATGCCTGACCACCGACTGCCTCGATGAACTATGTTTTGTGGCGTGGAAGTAGGTTGGAAGAAAGGTGGAGGCGGTCAAACCAAAACATGGCGGAAATCCATAAAGTCACTGACAAGTGGACTGAGTCATGTTGGTAGATGTAGGCTACCTGGTTGGGGTCCGCGAGACGATAGTCACCGGTTTTTAGAGACCTTGAAAGACATGGCTCAAAATCGTTCGCAATGGCGCAGGTGCATCCACTCTTTGTATTCTATGAAATTCTAACCTTCTACATTCCTCACAATCTCTATCTTTCTCCTTCTAAATTCATCTTACTGAATTATACTTCTCGAATCAAATCTCCCTAAGCTCCCTAATCTTCTCCATTACTGCTAATACTTCTATTACTGCTATCACTCTTGGATTTGAGCTGACAGTTGCGTCTCTGGGCTGATGGGGCATGGCAACCTGAACTGATGTACTCATGTACAAAGTTCTGCGTTGTATCTGTCTGTCTGACACCAATCTTTTCGTCTTATTTTTGTGCATTTACCGATGTGAGGCTCAACGCATCTTATGTAGTATGAATACTCTAGATTAGGTCCTTGATCGTCTATAAACTGATTAACCCTTTTGAGCAATTCCGATGTTTTTATAAAGAAAGCATCCCGACTTGCTCTCATCGTGTATAACCCCGAGGTTTTTTGATAAGCAAACTAAGAGTCGAAAAGTGAGATTTATGTATAGGAAATTTCATGATGTCTTCTGGTGAACAACCTGGTTTAGCCATAAGACCCTCTAGACATATCCTGTAGGGTTCATAATACGTAGAACCTCCGGGTAAAAACAAAACAACTCATGTGATAATCTGGAATAATTCTTAGAATTTAATCTACAAAACTCTCCTCACAGTAATCCCAGTAAACACACACAACATGTAAATCTTTTTTATACGGAAACAATTCACTGGAACTTAGTAAGCAATAGGTAGACAGATGATATGATACTAAGGTGTGATCAATAAACCAAAAACAATAAAACCATTCTGTGTTGTAGATCCCTGACAGTAAATGGTGATCCAGTTATGTCACACTAAAATCTTTTTCAACCATTAAACTGAATTCTATGAAACCACGAAACACCGAGTTCGTTGAAAACAGTGTGCCTACGTTCATTAGTCGCTGTAAACTACTGTAGTTTGTATTCAAGTGTTGAAATCTTATGATTATTTAGACAACGAATAAAAGTTTTGTAATGTAAATTTGTGACTGAAGTAACTTGGTTGTGTAAAAGTTTTATGACCCCAATATATATCAGGGCTACAAATGAAAAATAATGATAAACCAAAACATGATTACAGGTTCGTGTAATCAACTGGCTATATTAGGTGAGCAACTAGCTGAAACATTTCCTACCAGAAATTATTAATTCTCCAAAGATTTTTCGAATAAATGTATTCGATGATGAATAACCATGATGTCATAATATTCTAGTTAATTCGAGACCGTCAATAGGATATCATGAACCTAAGTCTCATGCTAACTGACGCTCGGTAGGAGGGTGCATACACAACCTGGAGATTACTGATACTCTCCATGCAACCCAGATACTCATCACTCAACTTTGCAGTTTGTGACACTATCAACTCTTTGTTCAGATCAGAACGAACCCTCAGTAGGACTTGATTATTTGGAGTCATGCGGTCAATAAGTAGTGACCAATCCCATTCTCTACTAGCTACTTTGACGTCAGCCGAATTATTTACACCAGCTCTTAGTTCGGTTACTAGTTTAAGCGACTCAGTATTGCTTCCACAGAGAATGTCAGTTTCGTTAATGTTACCAGTACACCTCGTGTATTCCAACTAACAATTAAACTAGGTTTAGGGTTTCCAGTTACCTAACATCCCGACATAGAGCATAACGTTTCGAATCATTGAGAGTAGTGGCCATACTGCAACTTGGTCTATAAGATTCGATCAATGTAAATGCGCGATCCGACGAGAATATATTTTTTCAAGGAATTTGCAAACAAGCTATATATATATATATATATATATATATATTAGTTCGGTGAGTAAACACGAGCAATGCATAAATATGATGACATAACAAAAGTGTATGATAGTTGGTCAAATAGTTCAGGTAATAACTATCACGACACTAGTCATTGATCAGTTAAAACAATCAACTCAATTTATACGCTACCTGATGATTCAGTAGAAAAATGTTTGTGTTTTTTTTATAATGCTAACAACCGAACGTAGCAAACAGTTTTAGCTTCTTAGTTTTTTATTTTTACTATTATTATTATTATTATTATTATTATTATTATTATTATTTGGTTACTTTTTTATTATTTAGTTTAGCTGAATTACAAAAACAGAAAGAAAAATTAATCAATGAACGTGATGAACAAATTTCTGACAATCAGAAATTACGTGAACAAATTGAAGAAACTAGAAATCTTATTGCAAAATATCAAAATGAATTATCTGAAGCACAAAATAAAATTACTGAATTAACTGCAGATATTGAAGTTAGTTTATTGGAGGAATTTGTAAATTGTGACATGATGTCCAATATATGCTTTAAATTAAATGATGCTGACTGACATATCGATATATTTGGCTGTTTAACCGAAGTCCTCGAATTTTTCTGAGGGAGAAGAAAACATGCTATTTTCTGAGATTCAAGTCAGAATTGTGTGTTTTTGGCATCATTGATACCAAATTTTAATTTATCGATGTTATTTTTCTATTTCATGACATAAGACTAACATTATCCTTTTGAAATTAGTCAACTAATATAGTTCTAAATCAAATTGATAAAAATTACGTTAAACTACATGATCCACAAAGAAAAGCAACTTTTAACACAACCTGACAGTAACAGTAACTGAAGAATTTTTGAAATAACTTTTCACGAATAGACTCAAAAATTTAATCTGGAATTAGACGTAGCGTACAAATTAAATGTGATTTATATTTTATAAAAAGATAAGTATACCTATTGTAAATTCATTAGAAATAACCTAGATTATAAAGGTGTTATTTTAATAGCATTTACATACATCCATGCATCTGTTAGTATTTCAATATCGTAAAATTTATTCATAAATAAACAATTGTTCAACCCGGTACATCTATTCATTTTACCATTTTTATGCAACTACTTATAAGTAGTTTAAAGTGAAATTTGAAAGTTTTAAAAAGCGAGGGTGAAATCGTTAAAATTAAGACTGCCGTATTGTTACCATGCTAATTTTGCATTTTCATAAACATTTAAATAACCTAAAATTAAAAAATCCCAAACTCGAAACAATTTACTTATAGTGCCCAGTGTATTCAAGACACTGACTACTTTTTTTTATCAATAACTTTATTAAATGTTCAAATTAACATACATACTTGGTAGAATAAAAATCTTGATGCACAAAGGGAATTACTTAGAAAAGAACGTTTGGAGAAGGATTTGAAGCAAATACGCACTGAAGTTGAAGCAAAAATGGAAGAGATCAGCTTGACATCAGGCAATGTTGAGAAATTGAAACAAGAATTACGCACAAAAGACGAAGAAAATCGTACGACAAAAGTTTCGTTAGAACAAGCCAATCGTCATCTGGTAATCACTGAAGGCAGATTAAAAGATTGTCAAGAAAAACTTGAACAACAAATTGAAGTCAATGAATCTATTGCAGCTCAAATAAAATCAAAAACAAATGAATTGAAGGTAACAAATTTGTTTCAAAAAAATTAGCGTTTATATTGATCTAGGACGATTTTGTAAAATATCTAGTTTTTATCAATTTGATCTAGATAACATAAACGTATGTTAATCATTCACTCATAGACAACGTATATTCTGATAAAACTTGTATACTGGTCGGAGTGGACGTAATTCATGTTAGACCAGTGATAAAAATTTAAGATGGAAGCTAAAAATGTGACGGAATAATACAATTATGATTACAGCATAAAATAAGAAGCATAGTTCCACTTAAATTAGTAAATTAGAACAATGAAATTCATAAAGTGATAGCAAGCTCAAAAGTTGGAAGATAAGCCAACAATGAACGTATCTTTGCCACTGTGGCTCATTTTGAGTCATATCACCAGCATTCTGCAACTACTGATCATGATTATTGTCGAAAAACCTGACTCGTCTATTTATAACTCTGAATATGATTCAATCCAGTAGTTTTCGACTTCATAAGTTGATGTCATTTCTTCATCTAACCACCATCAACGCAATCTAGATGTTATTGAATTAGTCACATAAATACTAATAATGCAATATCAACAGTTAAAGGTAATTGAATACTCTATTCTGTTATTTAATGATGTCATAATTAAGGGATTATCATCAAACATATGTAAATATAAATTTGGGAATCTTATCGAGAGACAAAACATCAACTATTCCAATACACAGTTTCAGCAACAACTTGGCAGATGATCCACACCGATTAGATATTAAGAAGAGGTGTCACCTGTAGTATTTAACAAATATCAAAGGAAAAAGTTAATAACATCAAATCAGATTCATTGAACTGGTAAAAATATGCAATCATCATTATTAGATGTAAAATTTAGATACTTTGATATCCTGTCAGAAAACTCCTAATTTGCTGGCAATGACTGTCTGTTTACAACTCGAATCACTGTTATCATTAGAGTCTTACCATGATCGGTATATGACGAGAAATTATCATTAGCAGTCATAATAAAATATATAGATGATATTTAATTTATGGAATGGTTTCATTCAACTAGTTCTATTTCAATGTTCAACATTATTAGCAACGTGAAGATGAAGTGCAAAAAGCCAAATCTGATTATAATCGTTTAGTAAAACAAAATGAAATAGCTGAAAGAAAATTTCATCAAACTGAAGAAGAGAAATTGAATTTAGAACATACACGTGAATGTTTACGCAATGAAATACATGCTTATGAAAATGAAATGGAATCAATGCGTAAAACACATGAAGCAAATAAAAAAGCTTGTGAAGCATTGAATCGTGAAAAAGATTCATTAAATAAAAATCTAACTAAAGCTACAGCACAAACAGTGAAACAAGCGAATCTTTTAAAAATACAAGAAATATCTAAACAAAATTTAGAACAAGAAATTTTAAATTATCGTGAAGAAGCACAGAAACAACGTAAAATAATTTATAAATTAGAACGTGAACGTGATCGTTACATTGCTGAAGCATCAGAATTAACTCAGAAAGTTTTACAAAATATGGATGATTTAAAATTACGTGAAATGCAAATTTTTGAAAATAAGAAAAAAATTGCTGAAGCTGAAACTAAATTAAAACAACAACAAAATCTCTATGAAGCTGTACGTAGTGATCGTAATATGTATAGTAAAAATTTAATAGAAGCTCGCAGTGAATTATCTGAAATGAAAAGACAATTAAGAAATTGTTTACAACAAATTATTCAACTTAAAGATGATATAGCTAAACGTGATGCCAATTTAGTCAAGGAAACAATGGAACGACAAAAAATTGAAAAAGATAAAGAACAATTAATTAGAGATTTAGAAAAAATGAAATTACAAATTACTGAAAATCGTACTTATATAAAAATACAAGAAACAGAAGAAAATAAATTATTGAAAATTATCACTGAAGCTGATAATGAACGATCGAAAGAGAAAAAAGAATATGAAAAAGTTGTTAGTGAAAGAGATATGCTTGGTAGTCAGTTGGTACGTAGAAATGATGAAGTAGCGTTACTTTATGAAAAAATTCGTATACAACAATTAATATTGAATAAAGGTGAAATACAATATAATAAACGGTTGAGTGAATTAAATTTATTAAAACAAGAAGTGAAAAAATTACGTTGTGAAAAAGCTTTATTACAATCTACCGCTATAAGAATTGATGATTTAAAAATTGAAATTAATCGTATACAAAAGAATTTATTAAAAGAAAGAACAAGAGCTAAAGCTTTAGAAGAAGAATTACAAAATCCAGTGAATGTACATCGATGGAGAAAATTAGAAGTAAGGCTAATTTTCTTTTTTTTTATTGTTTAGTTAAGAAATGATGTTAATTTCTTACTTATATTTCGTTTCATTTGTCACGTATCGGTTGGCAATGATTTGTTTATTTTTCCCACATTAACTTGTTACTGATAGAGTCTGCTGGGCAAAGAATCCTCATTATCTTGCATAGACGTTTGTTAACAAACTCCCGTACCTTTTGGATGATGGTTTTTGTGGTTCTCTAAGTCTCCAGCCTATAAGATAGAACCGCTTTGGCGTGCTTACTGAAAATTCTAATTTTAGAGTTGGTCGATAGCTTTGGTTGAAGCATGTTATGTTGCATCGGAAAAGCTTGCTTTTCCCTTTATGTATGTTGAGACCTTCTACTGCAGAGGCTGCTTCTTCACAGGTCGTCTTTCCTTATATTTGTTCTTACATGTGCGATAGAGGAGCCACATCTTATGCGAAGTACAGATCCTCCAGCTGCATCCGAATTGTCCACTGTATCCCGTGCTTCTCTCCAGATGTTGACGTCTTCATAATCCAGTCGATTATCAGGGGAAAGAGAAAGGATGAGAGTAAGCAACCTTGCCTGACACCGGTCTTCAGGTCGAACGTGTCTGTTAGCAGTCCTTCGAGCAAAATTTTGCACTTAAGCCCATCATAAGCATTCCTTATGATGTTGACTATTTTCTCAGGCAAGCCATCGTGTCGAAGAAGCAGCCATAGTGTTGTCCTGCCCACGCTATAGAATGATTTCTCGTAGTCAATGAAGTTGATGTAGAGTGGTGAATTTCGTTTGATTGATTGTTACACAACGATTCGTAGTGTCGCAATTTCATCCAGTTTGACAACACGCTGATCTCCTTTCTTTGGTATCTTGATCAGGTGTCCTTCTTTCCAGTCTCTTGTTTAGGTAGGGTTAGGTAGAATGTGGAATGTCTCTGCAGTTATTACAATGCGTGTTTTCAATGTATCAACTCATATGTTGGCTGGTCCTGCTGCTTCATCAATCTTGATCTGTCTGATGGTCATACTTATCTATTCAAACATTGGTGTGTCAAAATCTGTCAGAAGGTGTTGGAAAGTTCTAGTGCTACCTCAATGTTGGTTAGGTTGAGTGGAGCTAGTCGATTCAAGAGTTCTTCGCTGTTTCGCTGTACTTCAATTTCGGTAATTGTTTCTCCTTCCTTGGTCTTCGCTGGTTGTTCTAGTTTGCTATATTTTTCCAAAGAGGTTCTTCATCATATCGCATCATGTCGCATGTTTCCTTCTTTTGCAGCTCCTTCTGCTATCATTTCTATGTCTTCGCTGATGCTCCTCTTCACTTACATGTTTGCTTCTGTGCATGCAACGTGTGCCTTGGCATTTTATGCTCTTGTTTGTTTGATAATGACTGCTGTCTTCCTGTTCTTCCTTTCTTAAGTCTCATCCTGAATGTCAAAAGAGATGTATTTCACTAATTCCAAGTATCGCCAGGTTGTATATATTCGTTTCCACAGCAACTTAAATAAATTTCCCGGTCTTTCTTATTATACGAATATTCCACATTCCTAAATTAATGGCGGCTGCGTTTGTGAGAAAGGACATTGACCTCATGATTTCCGTAGAAACTCGGCTTTCATCTTGAGAGGTCATAACCCTTCTAAATGAAGGCCAACCAGCTCTCAGGAGGGGTTTCTAATCACATGTCCAACCCTCCTCCTCTATCCTTACTTGGGGCTGACAGTAACACTAGAAGAGCTCTGGGCAGAGCTGTGGATTTTATATACTTTGTAGAAATATACTACAATTTGAAATTTTGATTTTCTGTTATACTGATACTAAGTGATTATCATATTATTCACTTTTTCACACTCTTAGCTAATCAGAAAGTCAAACTTTTATCTTGACTCACAGTACTTTCAAATTACTGACTTATATTCGTCATTACATCTGAGAGAATTACTAAAGATCTTTTTAGACTTAATTATTTCTTTAGAACATTATCAAATGGGTTATTCATAATGAAATATGAAAACAGTATTATAGCTAAGATATAAGATAAAAGACAGCTGAACAACTGAATCAAAGTACAGGATATCAAGAATATTTTATCCAAGAAGATAGATGATAATAGTGACTTATTTTATAACAAAAGTTTGTCTAACCAGTGTTCAAGTACAGATGAAGATGGTTCTGATATCCAGCGATCTGATATAACAAGTTTTTCCGGAAACAAGGTACTAACTTCTTCAGATTAATTGGCGTTAGCAAATATCTATTTAGCTGATATATAAATATCTCACCAATGTTATTTTTATTTATATAAGGGAACTGATCCATCCACGTATGAAATGATACAAAAAATTCAAGCATTACAAAAACGTCTTATTAGTAAAACTGAAGAAGTAGTTGAAAAAGAATTACTTATACAAGAAAAAGAAAAAATCTACATTGAATTAAAACAAATATTAGCACGTCAACCAGGTCCAGAAGTAGCAGAACAATTGAATATTTATCAAAATGTAATTAAAGATAAAACAAAACAATTGAAAGTAAGTCAAATGAGTGATTTCACTGACTGATTATCTTTATATTACTACACCTAATGACTGAGCATAAAACTAAGAAGGCTGAACCCTGTACCCAAACCACATGGATGGGTTACTGATTAATTAAGGTTATATCTGCTATCACTTTCAACCTGAATCGTTCATCAGATAAGCTACTAACATCTTATTAACCAACTATACATTTGGCAGTTTAGAGTTGTGTGAGCTGGGTGGTTTGAGGACGATGATTTAATTGTTTTTCTTCTCGAATCATATATTCGAACCCTAATCTTTTTTCTCAATTACTGCTAATAATTCTACTATCTCTATCACTATGGGATTTGAACTGATAGTTGCGTCTCTGTGCTGTTGCTATATGGCAACATGAACTCATGTACTCGTGTACAAAGTTCTGTGTTGTTACTTACTGACTGACTGACTGTACAGGTTTATCAATCCTTACTTCGTATGAGAGCGATCATTTTAGAATTATACTATGAAAGACTTGTAAGTTCGTTCTGCGGTTCCTGTTAGCATATGACTTTAAAAGTTTCGTTATATTCATGGGGTCAACCCTAACATCACAATCATAGTATTATCAAAACGTTCCAAATTGATAGTTGTAGGGTAATTTTAAAACTATGTTTCTTATTTGAAATAGGCCTTTGTGATTTGATTTAAACAAATCATTCTAAGTGGCAGTAGGATGACTAGGATACCTACAATCGTATTGTGGTGCAAGCTACTTATAAGTAGTATATGACGTGAGTGTCAACGTAATGTCTGGCAGCAGAAGATGGGGGAAGATCAAGAAAGGAAGAGTTAGAACACAATGGAATTTGTATGAAACGCATGAATAGT